AGAAACATCAAACTTGATAAAGTCTAATCCCAAATACAGATTCTTAGGAATCAGAAAGTCAAACGGTTACTGAATAAGCATTTCTTAACTCTGCTCTACATGTACTGTGCTGTAGAGTTCAAACCATTATAGACCATCATCCATTCAAACACAAATGGCTTCTATATTCAATTACAAATACTCCATACCATTGATGTGAAGATACCACGACTTTAAAACAACTGTAATGATTAGAACCCAGCCTTGTAATAGAAAACAATGACTAACTAATGTAGTCATTCCATAGATTAATTTATAAGGTGCACCCTAGTGTAACTGAATAGAATGCAATTTTAAATAGTCTAAAAATAACCTCAAACAGGGTCACAGAGTCTCCACAGAACTGTCACTAAGTGCTAGTTTTGGATTTATCAGTTGTGCAAATACTTCACCCTTTTGCCAGCTGAGCTGCAACCATGAAGTCTTCCAACAATTACAAAAAACAACGGATGTGTTACATTACAAAAGCAAAGGTTTAAATATAAAGGATTGTTGGATACTGCAGCTTTAAAACACTGTCTTTAATTAACTAGGGGACTGTGAGAATCCCTTAACATTAAGAGAGCTATTCTGAGGAAAAGCCAAATTTTCTTCAGTTTGCATTAGTAATGCTCCACGCCATTCCCTTTTTCATGAAACCCAGAATGAACTGGGCTACGCTACACAACTGAATTTAAATCTCTATCTCGGTACTCCTTTCTTGGTCATTCTGGCTAGGCATGAAGCTATTTTCCATCCTTCTCTTTCGCCTTTGCTTGCTTGTTTTAAATGAATACCACATGTGCTCCCCACTCTATAAAGAAGTAGTGTAAGTTAGTCTCCCATCCACTCACATTCAAACAGCCTGACAGTGAGCCTGGCCCTTCCTCCGACTCTCACACTGCACTTCCTGCAGACTGGAGTCAGGATGCAGTCCCAAGGGAAGGCCTAGGCATCTGAACTTGGCAGGATATCCCATTCCCAGGAAACAAGCGCTCTGTTCACAGCGCTATTAAACAACATGGCAAAATTCTCATCCATCTCAATGATTTCCTTAACCCACCGACACTCAGAGCACAGAGGAGTAAGAGTACAAGGGGGGAGGGGTAAAACGTCTCACAGAGATCAATTTTCCATACAGTACCCCAAGCTGCAAGTTCAGCTCGTTACCACAGCTCCTTGCCCCCACCCCTGTCGGCCTTCTGTATTTAGAAAAGGTCTGTTTGCAAAAAGAGGAACTCGTGATACTCTTTTCTTCCACTTTGAGGGATCTCAGTGAAAGTCCTACTGAGATTAAATATATCCCATGTCAATTCTAATCTTTATCTTTCTTGTGTTTCCCTCAGTTTTCTTGAAAATTACCTTCCCATTACAGCTAAAACCTAATGCAATGCTGTGGGTTTTCAGCATTGAAACTAACGTCTTTAGGTTCTGTGATTGAAAAATGAATTGCCACACAAAAAACATTTACTTTCCATTCAGCAATGTAACCACTGGGAAAGTTAGATAAACGGACTCCACTGCTATGAAGTCTTTCGTTTTACATTGAAAAACCTTCATTTTTTAACATGGTAAGGCTGACAAATCATTCATTTTGGCATTTAACCAGTGCAATCAAAAGTTGGATAATCTTCAAATGTGCATGTAAAAGACTTATACGACCCAATCAATCTAATATTAAACACCTGTAGTTGCTTGATTTTTGGATCCCCAAAAAGTTTAAACTGATTGAGTTGTTTTCCAAATAATTGCGCGATTTCCTTTTATTAAATCCCACCATGTACTGTAGATGGGTACTCTGTTGTTTTCAATAGCTTTCTTTATTGAACATGAGCGGCAAGTCATTATATTTTAAAATAATTTAAAATATTCATCTGCAGGGTGCATTTTTTAAGTAAAAATCTTTTCAATATGTTGGGTAGTAAAGGTACCTAATCTTATATTAATAGGTTTAAAGTCATAAATCTGTCCTTTGAACCATAAATACACGAGTAGACCATTATATTCATAGAACACAAGGAATTAAGAAATGGATGAGTTCTTACTATTCATTGTTTGAAGTTACTCTGGAGACAACAATGCCATTAGTAAGAATCAGTTCTCTATCTGAAGATACTGAGCTAAAGAATGTCATCAATATTTTCTTTGATTGTTTTGGTGAAATCAATTAACACTTTTAGCCGGTATTGACAGATAACCTAGGGCCTATTCCAGGGGCCTATCAGTTGCAAATATACCATTTCCTCAAGGCTTCTTAAATTGAACCCAGGCTTAACTTCTTTCATGACCTTACCTCTTCAACCTCAATTTTTTAACAACACTGCAATACTGTTAACCCTTGTTTTCTTCCGTTGAGAAAAAACTATTTTGAAATTGGATAGAGACATCAATTTCCTGAATTTCTGGAGCTCAAGCTATGAAAATATTGCAGTAACGGTACAGGAAAAAGAACCTACTGAGTCTGCAAGGTGAGAGGGAAATTTCACGGTTTCTAGCCTTGTCAAACTAAAGAACCAAAACTTTATTTTTCTATGGATTATTACAGTTCAGTACCTGAAATATGATTCAACAATACAAAGGGAAAAGGGAAATAAACATGAGAAAAGTCATCCAGTAACATCCTCAATAAATATATATAACTGGTTATTATTCTGTCACAAGTGCTGCTTTGTGAGGGAGACATACTGATCAGTTTATTGCACAAAAAAAACTATTTTAAAGCTGTATTAAATTCCATCAGCAACACAGGCCACCTAAGAGCATTATTACAGCAATTCCTCATTAATAGCATACATGCACAGTACTTTAGAACACTGATTTTTTTTTTGTGCAACTTGTCTGCCAGCGAACTTTGTGGGAGGGAGTTCAGATCTCCTAACGGTTCTGCTAGCATTCCAGTGGGGATCGTGACACCATTTTGGGTCCTTTCTTTCCAAGGCATTACTAATTCAGTGGACTGTGGGAAGAGACTAAAACAGTGTTTGCTGCTTCACAAAAGCAGACTAGCATTCCATTCCACACTGGAAGTACAGTTAAGAGTTAACCCCCTCATCCCCTTTGGCTTGGCGACAAATACACCTACACACAATTGTCTGTTTCTGCACAGGCTCTGCAGTCATGTCTGAGAAAATGGCGCACTGTATGTCCTTATTATTTTGCAGGCAGCTGTACAGTAAGTCAATACACTTAAAGAAGAAGGCTTATAATGATTTCAAGACTAGGCAACACTGGTTCACTTTTCATTCACACTACACCCGTTACTGCCTTACAACATGACTATAATTGACCTTCTGCTGATGCATATGTAAGTAATATTGAGCTGCCTGATGGACCAGAACTATAGATTTCCAGGGATTTTGTCCCATGCTTTCCAGGTATTTAGCTCATATAATCACAGTACCCCTGTTAGTTCCATCTCCCATTCCCAAGGGAAAGGAAACAAGCTGCCAAAGAATTTCGTTTCGATTGTTTTTTTGAAACCTTCAACGGTCTCCAAGCAAACACCAAAAACATGTTTCCTTGAGAAATGGGTACACTCTAGCATATCTTCAGTCTTTGCTAATCAGCACTTCATTTCAATAGTGAGCTGTTGTTGGTGAAAGAAGGTTGATGGGCTTGCAACTAATTGCTTGACGTTTCGTATCATAAAACAAATGTCTGCACTTCAGGAAGAGAGTCACTTTTTTCATCTTGTAGATGTCTTTTTTTTCTCTCACTGTTTTAAAAGGATCATCTTGTGTGGCTTACATTACAATTTGTTACAAAGACCAACACTGATATTACTTCTTAAGAGAAAAAAAAAATCAAAGGGGGGGAAGATGTTCTATATCTTTCCAATCATAACGAATCAGTAGTTCAGCCTCCTGTAACAAGCTAAGCAGATTACTGTCATTTTCCACAACTTGTCCCTGGTGGCTAACAACCTCCAATTAGCAAATCCTGCTGTGCGAGCCTACGCTCTGATGAAAAGTGACTGTGACAAGCAGAGAATTTAGAAGTGCTGCATGTTAATCTACCAAGGCTTGGCAATGCTTGTCATCTTCAAATTTGCTTTCAGGGATATGCATATTCAAGAACCTCACCATCAGCACAACAACGGCTACAACAGAAAAGCTACCGAAGCAATGTTCCTTCAAGTCAAACATTGTTGCCTATCTGCCCAAGGCATGCTGGAGCCACAGGATGCTAAGAAAAGACAGTGGCTGGATCTCACAATAGTGTCGGCCTTCTGCATTCTAATCAGCAAAAGCACTTGTCTTTGCATATTGCACTGAGTGACTTTGCCACCAACAGTTCTTAAAACTGACACAAAAGGATAATCCTTTGTTGAACAGTTCAACCATAAAGTCAATTGAGTGAAATGGCTAAATCAAAAGCTATTACAGTATGTTTTCTCTTTGAAAAAAAGATTAGTAATAATGCAGCACAACAAACCACTGCATTCCTTGTCCACATTCCAGTTTTTTTGGACATAGGACTACTGCGGCTATATCCACTAGTATCATTCTCCTTTAAAATGCCACTTGAGATGTCAGCAGGAAGCATGTAAACTTTCATTGCCTAAAAGTTGACAGACCACTTTCACTGCCAGAGGCTTGTGACATTTTAACTTACTCTGCTGGTGAGTGTACTGGATCACTTTTAGAAGTGACTTTAAGGAAACAGTCTCTTTTATCAAAGAAACAAAACAGTCATACAGTGGCAATTTAACAGATCTCCTAGAATCTGAAATAAACTACATTCTCGCCATCAAGGAGAAGCTTTTGCTAGCTTTATTCCTTCTAGGAGATCTGCTTTGGCTTTAAACTCCTTGATAAACATATAAACACAAAGCTATTCATATCATTAACACAATATATCTGAGACCAGGAAGGGAAATCTGAAATGTGTTGATGTTAAAACAATAGTAAAAGACTAAAGACTACAAATAAAAATTGAAAATTGAAAATAAAAAAAGACTAAAAATAAAATTTGGGTTGTACCTGTCTTTGCTGAGCCATCTTGTATGGAAGCCCAGGGGCATGCTGGTTTAGCTGCATCTTCTGTGGCAGAGTCTTGGGCTGCAGGCACTGGGATACTGGCACATTAGGAAGTCGTGGCAGAGCATGATTCTGGAAATGTGGAGGAGGGTGTGGCTGTGTCTGAACAGATGTTCCTTGTTGCTGCTGCTGTTGTTGATAGTGCAGAACAGGAGACTTGTTCTGCGAGTCCCCCATCAATGAAATCGGTTGGCTGATGGCCTTGGGGCTGAAGTGAGACAATGGCTTGGTGTTCAGCACTTTCATGCCCATGTGGTTTGCACTACTGTTGCCATTCAATTTGAAGAGGCAATTGTTCATCCCTTTGGTCTGGCTGTTGGTCATGGGGGGCAGGATAGAATTCTGGGGGCTGATCCTCTGTTGGCAAAGGGTGGCAGGGCTTGGGATTTTCTCTTGCCCAAAAGGTCCAGGAGACGAGTGTGTGGACATTGCAGATGACCAGCTGGCTATCGCTGCTGACTGGCCCTGCTGCTGGTGCAGCATTGCTGTTGGCTGTTGGTTTGCAGCAATCTGTTTCAGCTGCTCAGCGTGGGACACCTCAGGCCAACTGGTCAGAGGTCTAGCTGCACTAGAGGAGCCCTGCGCTCCCTGGCTCAGGTTCTGAGGTGTAGAAGTCACTGGAGAAGATGATAATGAGGTGCTTATAGAGAACGTCGGTCCTGCAGAAGCTGGTCTCAGTTGGGGTGACCCTGCAGAAGCCTGACTAAACCCGGGTGAGTACTCAGTCTTGATGACTATCTTCTCCATCTGTGGAGAAGGCTTACTCATCCCAGCTGAGCTGGGTCGTCCCAGGTCCAAGCTGAAGGAATCAGCATCCTGCTTCAGAATCTTCTCAAACTCTAGGTCATTAAGAGAGGGCACAGACTTGGTGAGTTCATCAAACAGATCCTGGAGCTCTGGATCAATCTGACAACCAGATTCATCTTTAAAATCAAAGGTCATCATGTTGTTGTCAATGGAGGTTTGGCTGCATGGATGAACTTCTCCTGGTTCCTTCTTCATCTCCTTGAGAGTTAGACTAAATAGATCACTTCCACTCATTTGGGCCATTAAGCTATTGTCTTTTCTTTGAGGGGCATGGCCCATACCCTCAGTGCCCTGCAATGTTTGTGACTGCCCATTGCTGAACACACAGCCACTTTGTCGTAGACTACTACCTGCATCGACCCGCAACCGTTTAAGGTCTGCATTAAAAGCTCCACTTGAAATTCCATTTTGTTTTGGGTTAAACCCTGTTGGTGGATTCCCTTCTAATTTTCTTCTCAATGATCCCTGGAGCTGTAAAAACAGAAAGGAAGAAGTCCTTGAAAAACTAAAAAAGCAGCAATTCAATGGACGCTTTTGCAGAGTTCAAACAACAAACATATGCACAGGAAAACAGAGAAAATGTGCTTCAAACATTTTTTTCTTCCATCCAGACAATTTAAGAATGCCAAAGTACAGTAACTGTTGCTAACAAATGTTTCACTAACAAAAATGGGCAAGCAAAAGAAACTTAGTGACATTTAATGATATTTGAATACACTAACCCTCCTGTGCTTGAAACTGCTTCCCTACTATTATGAAGCTATGCTGAGAGTAATGAAATTCTTCGTTGAACTTCTACAATAAAGCTTGGGAAAAGCTGACTGTTAAGTTAAGTATTGCCTGAAGAAAAGCTATGTTTAATATTAGGAGAGTTTCTTCTGTATATAATTAATGACCTAATATCAGAAACACACTTTGATGTTGTTAAACCTTCTATTAAAATGATAATGGTTCTTCAAAATATTGATATAAAAACTTTGAAACCCTTGAACAATTATCTTTATGTAAATTCATCTAATTTTGTAATATGCTTCAAGGCTACTCGGGCTTCTACACAAAGTCTCTCTAGTGCTCAGAGAAGCTCGAAGAAATTAATAATTGAAGTTTCAAGGTTTTTATTCTTTTTAACACTGAGTATCTTGTACCAGATTCAAATTAGGATTTTAACTACTATTTTACAGCAGAGATCAAGGGGAAACCAACTTTCACCAACAAAGAATGGAAGACTAAGCTTTTCATGATACTTGTAAGATTTATACAATTAATTTCCTTTAGTTGTTAAAACCCAATTATTCACATTGCATGGACTTCAGTGAAGGCATATGATCTTACACATTCCTTGCAGCAAAATATACTGTAATTTGTGTTCAAAAGGCACTGAAATGTGCAACCTTCAGTAATGTATTTACTTACAATCCTGTCATACATATATGCTTTCCCACAATTCAGTCAGAAAGTGACTGGTTATAATACTGACAGCATAAAAATACATAATACAAAATACATGCATTCATAATGCTCACAATCAAGAGATGCTCCCTGTAACTAAACTGACACATCAAGCTGATTGAGAGGTAACTCTCAACATAAGTATGACCCAGAGCTTTGCGTCTATAATTTTAATGAAGCAGTAAAAAAAAGTGATGTACCTTTAAGCAGGGGCTCCATTTTTAAAATTAAAATAAAAATATTTTATGCACTCCTAACTTATACCAGTTCCGAAAACATTAAAATGAGGTTCTTAACTGAGGTTCAGCAGGGATAAAGACACAAAAAGCCAGTTTTCCCTAGCTGTAATAAATCAGAATCATTACTGACTATATATACGTTGCACACATCTTGTTCCGCATTTTTGTCATGTTCATTCTGCCTCGACCACGTCTTCACCTATGCAGCTACCTCTTGGATAACCCCTCTGAACAGGAGCCCAATCATCCTTATCCTAGAGCCAGGAGACTACCACTTAAACAAGTGGGTTAACCCCGATTCTCAATATTGTTGTTGATACACATTGATAATTCATTGTATGGTATTTGTAAAATGTACAGGGTAACAATTTAAACAAGTGCCCCCAATCCAGAGAGAGCTCCACATCAATGCAGCTAGAACCATTTTCCACTCTTGAAACCTTCAAATACATTCAAATCCTTTCAAACATGGTTTAATTGTCACCATTGATAAAGGCAACGTATAGTATTTATCATTGTATGCTTCTATAGAAGAATGTAAAGAATCATTTAAGAATTTTCAGTTACTCATTGTTCTAATATTCCGTCTACCATGCAGTTTTAAAGAGGGAATCAAATTTAAACGTCTTTTTTTATCAAAGCAAATGTTCCTTAGGTCCCTGTGATCCTACATATCTTACTTAAAAAATCATTGCACAGTGAATCATAGTGCAAAGTGAGCGATTTGTATGCAATGGATCAATATTAAGTGCTGGAGAAACAAAGGAAAAATATCAAGTTAACATTTATTTTAAGTGCGCAAAAAACCTTGCATCATGCTTTCAGTGTAATTTGCATTTAATAATAAAAAACACTGTTTTTTAATACCACTTGTTAATCCCTGAAACCTGGGAGTGTCAGTGAAGGAATTTAACCGAGGATTAATTCAAGGTCAAAAACAACTCAGCTCAGGCATCAAATAAATCTTGTAGCATAGTCCTAAATGCAGCAATGATAATACCTTTTTAAATTATCACATTTTCCAGATAGTTGAATAGAGTAGGTATATTCTCTTGTGATTTTCTCCTATAATACATGGGTGATATATTTATCATCTCCTGCCATTGCGATTACAATCTGTGAGAATAACATCAATATCTTAAGCCTCCTTCATGACTAATTACCTTTTAATGATACAGGTGACTCATCTCACTAATTATGGCTTTTAGTCAAGAGATTTAGGAACAGGTCCTCATATCCTCAGAGGGAGATCAAAGATTCTGAAGACAAGATTCCATATGAGATGTGCTCATAGTGAACTTTAACCTGACACCATTTCACAAATTAGCTACATATTCTACATAGATACTCCACACTAAAGACTACAGGCTGTGGTGCTGCTAGATATTAAATCGTCTACAACAGTGTTCAAGCCACACCTCACTACAGACTTTGCAAATTTCCCTTCACAACAGTTTCTTCCTGTCTGCCATACCCTTGGCTCAAGAAGGACTGGCATGAAACAGATTCTAACTGCTACATGAAACAAAGACCAATTAATTTGTGTAGGTTCTAACACGTTCTTTAATGAGATAGCATATCCTTTTATATATAAAACAGTTTCCTGTTTAAGACGTATTTTTATTGGTATATTTTCCTACTAAAAAAAAACAAACAATTATTCATCTAAAAATATTTTACAGATTGAGGACTGTTGGCAGTCACATGGCAGAATATGTTAAAGATGTTATCAAACTAAATTTAATGTAACTATCAGATGTAGAGAATATCCGCTGTCATCAAATGGTTCTTCACAAAAAGAACAAACAAGTGTTTACTTTACATCAAGACTAGAGGAGGACAATAAAATATGAAAGGGTTGCTGGATCTGGACCAAGATAACCAGCCATGTTTTTGAATCCTATACCATTGCTACTTTCAAGAAGTGACAGGATGAGATTCTAAGAGCCCTAAACAAAAAAAGGTAGAAGCACTGAATGCCACCCTCTTATGTTCTCAAGTCTATATTGCTTTAGAAACCTGCACATTCTGTTTTGAATGTAATCCTCTATATTCTCTTCTTTTGGAAGGCCATTATACAAATACAGTGTTTTTTAGTAAGATGCGATATTCACTGCCAGAAGTACTATACCATGGGAGTAGGATTATTTATGGTAAACTGCCACCCATTCCATTGTCCCACATCAAACACTGCAATAAAGTACATCAGAGATGTTGCAGATATTTTCTCAGCTTATTTGCTTGCATGTTTAATGACAAATTCAGAGGAACGTTGGCAGAAAATGCCAATGATGTTCAACTGGTTTCATAACTGGCTTGCCTACAGTTTCATGGGAATTACCAAGAGTGTGCTGACAGTGGTGCTTAAGCATCTATTCAAATGTGTGTGAGAGCACTGCCTGTCAACCTGTACATTAATACCGTTATATAAATCTTACTAGTACATATGTCAAAGGCCCTGTTAACATTTCTACATGCATGCAAGTGATTTTGTTTCTGCTTCATGATTATGACTGGTATCTTTGGAACAGTTACTGCGTGAAAATGTGGAGATGTCTCTTCTCGCAAACATATGAAAACTACTTTGCCATAGTGAAAAACAGAACAGGTGATGTCAGATCACATTTTAATTAATGGACTTAGACAGGTTTAATAAGCCAAGAATCTTTTTACTCTACAGAATAGAAAAATGTGCTCCTGTCTTTCATGATGTAAGGCCATGTATGCTATCTATCTTTAAGAAGACATGAGAAAAACTTGGCACTGTAAAAAAGGTTGATACTATAATCCTTCTTTATATGCTAGTTCTTCCATTAGTCCAAATTCAAAATAAGAAGTCCTTTGGAATCAGCAACTCTGATAGCCAGAACCCAAATATTTCCCATCTGTTAACATTCACTGAATGACCACAGTATAGTAATCACGTAAAGGAACTACTTCTTTGAATAATCTCCTGCATTTTATAATTCAACATTTATAAACAAGAATAAAATAGGCCACTAACAAAAGGAATATGATGAAGCAACAAAACAGCAAAAAAGACAGATATCTGAACTTAATCTGCCTGTGTCTCCAGTCACTCACCCACTAATCTTCATAAAGATCTAGCCCACTAAAAATAGATCAGATCCACAAACAATTTGACATCTGTTTTCTTCAAAATGTAAATGAAGACAGACATGTAAATGTCTGGAGCTCTGACATACTTTCTCTTATTTATGAGTGTAGCCTTCTTAGAAACTGCCAGGGATGAAGTAAAAGCAGAAAACTGCACTTTCAAATAGTGAAAAAAAAAACATTGCAAACATTTCTCAGTGCAGTACAAAAATTAAACAAAAGAGAAAGGGAACAGCTTAAAAATGTATGGCAAAACATCTGAAATGTGCAGAAATCTTCAAACTTTCATCACACAAATAAAAATGCAAAAGGGTTGAATCCCCTCAAAAACCATCATTTTAAGAAAAACAACATTCAGTGGTGGTACACTACACTGCTATGTTACACTGCTCACTAGATTGGGACACCTGCTCTATAAGAACAACTTAGAATAGGGTCAATACTCAACCTTGCAAAAAACAAGATGTATGTCAGTCTCTTTGGAAGTGACACATTGCTAGTTAATTGTATCCGGTAGACACAAATCTCTTATTACCACCAGATCCATGTAATCTGAAAATAGACTTTATAATGAACATTTAATGATTTGGTAATCTCTATGGCCTTGGATAAAGATGAGCTGTTTCAAAATGCACATCCCGCAAACAGATTTCAAATTAGCATTAC